TGACTTCCCTGATTTTTAACAGAAAAGAACACCAAAGCTCTTCTGCTTTTGTGTTTTCTGCACAGAAAATTTTGATTAATCCAAAATTAAGATTATTTTTATGGGTGATTTTCCCACCCATGTTTGTTGTGGGGTTTTTTAAACATCAATTTTACATTCAAAAAATGGAACTATGGGTGGTAGTTGTGTTGGGGTTTAATTTTTGTTTCTCCCAATTTTCCAGAAAAACAGAAATGATTATTTTTGGCACTGTGCTTGTAGCTATTAGATCCAGAGTGCCTGAGTGGTTATGTCATTTTGATGTCTTTCAGAATTATAGCACTCAGATTTTGGTGAAGGCCAACTGTGAGAGGTTTAACCAGGGCAAGCACCTGGTCCTGCACTTCGATCACAATAACCCCATGCAAAGCTACAGGCTTAGGGATGAGTGGTTGGAAAGCTACATAGTGGAGAAGGACCTGGGGGTTTTGGTGGACAGCCAACTTAACATGAGCCAGCAGTGTGCCCAGGTGGCCAAGAAGGCCAACAGCATCCTGGTCTGCATCAGGAATAGTGTGGCCAGCAAGAGTTGGGAATTGATCATGCCCCTGTACTTGGCACTGGTGAGGCTGCACCTTGAGTACTGCGTTCAGCTCTGGGACCCTCCTTCCTACAGGAAGGAAATTGAGTTGTTGGATTGTGGCCAGAGAAGAGCAACCAAGCTGAGAGAGAGCAAGTTCTATGAGAAGAGGCTGAGGAAACTGTGCTGTTGTTTTTTTTTTAATTTGAAGAAGAGGAAGCTAAGGGGAGAATGTATTACTCACTGCCGCTACCTGCAAAGAGGTTGTAGTGAGGTGGGTTTGGGTTTCTTCTCCCAAGTGAATAAACACAGGACTAGAGGAAATGACTTGAAGTTGCACCAGGGGAGGTTTAGACTAGATAATAGGAATAATTCCTTTACTGAAGGAGTACTCAGGCACTGGAACAGGTTGCCCAGGGAGGTGGTGGAGTCACCATCCCTGGAGGTATTAAAAAAACATGTAGATGTGCCACACTTCAGGACATGTTCTAGTGGGCATGGAAGGTGTTGTTGTGTTGTTGGTTTTGTTTTGTTTTGTTCTTTTTCTTGTTTTGGTTTGTTGGTTTTTTCCTCCTTGGTGGATGGTTGGACTTGGTGATCTGTGACAATTCTGATTCTATTAATGGTCCATGGGTTCAGAGAAAGAAATTTAGGGGCAAAGCAGTGCCTATGAAATTTAGAAATTAATTTCTAACGCTAAATTGTTGAAGATTTAAAAAAAGGACTTGATCTAAGACTACAAGTATTGCGTGCATGCCCTGAGTGCTAGATTGCTTATTTTGTCTTCTGTACATTACATAAAAGTATATGCTCATTTTCCTGTGCACTAGGCATGACTGTATATTTCTATCTGCTATTTCTTGACAAGGTGAAAAAGGAAAAATGTTAGACTTATTTGAAAGTTATGCTAAGCCACTTAATATTCTGTAATGAAGAGACAGGCCATTATAGATCCTGTATGTCAGTTACTGACATGGACAAATACATTAGCTTAGGCAGCCAGTTATGTACCTAATTATGTCAAAACCAGTTTTCCCATGCTTGTGCAAACAATCACAACCGTAGAAGTGCCCACTTCCCATGAAATTGTTTCAGTCTTGTAAAATGATCATAATATCAATGCTAAAGCATACATTCATGTTCATAGTTGCTTGTATTATCAATAGAGTTATGCAGCCCTTTTTTTTCAGATTTTAATTCTTTCATTTTCCCCAGCAATGTGTAAATGGCAATTAAATGTTTATGAGAAACATTTAGGAGAGCTGTGCCTTTCATTTTGCCTTTTCAGGACTAATGATACTGGATTCCTTTCCTACAAGGAGCATTTACCAGTAACTGAAATTGTGATCACAGATACTGACAGACCAAATTCTGAAGCAGCTTACAAACTGGGGCCTTTACTTTGCCGTGGAGATAGTAAGTAAAAACTGCAGAATTTTGCTAAACAACAGTGGGCTTTGACTGCAATACATTTTAAATATTGTTTGCTGAACAGTCTATGATAAATTTATATAAAAATGTCTTCCATTAATTCTAGTAATTAGAAAGGAAAAAGAAAAAATGTATGGTTCAGTGCAAACCAGTGTAGAGTTGTAAAGACATATTCACACATCCATAGTGAAGATGGAAATGGTTAGTATAGCTTTCAAACAGACATTTTTACTAAAAAATCTATTTCTTTTTCTCTGCAACTTGAATTAAATTATTAATGAAGAATTATATTAAGAAGAATTCATAGCTGGTTGCCGTTTCTTGGGAGAAACGTATCCTTCATGAGGTACGCATGCCTGCATCACCAAACCTTATGCATAGTAGCTCCTCTGAGAATTTGTGCAATGATGGAAACTATACTATGAGAGATTAATCCATTATATGCAATATCTATGTGCAAAATTTCAACTCCACATAGGAATTTAAAATTTAGGAAGTTATACAATAATTCAAAAGATGAAGTTGTACATCCTGAATAACTGTAGGTGGGTAGGTAGGTAGGTAGGTAGGTAGGTAGGTAGATAGATAGACAGACAGACAGACAGACAGACAGATAGATAGATTTACAGCAATATTTTGTGCGAAAAAATCATTTAAAGGTAATGAGGCAACTGGAGCAAAACTGATACCTCATGAAAGATTTCTGATCACATTTCTGATTTCATCAATTTCCATCTTCATTGGCAAAAAAAATCAGATTTGTTGTATGTTGTCGCGATCTGCAACCTATTATATCTCCTTTTTGGAGTGTATTTAGCTTGTCAGGATCTGCTGAGAGGTCCGCACATGGTGCTCACCTCTCACAGAGGAGCAGTAAACTTAGGCACTGACTTTTTCAGGTGAGAAACTTGCTCAGTACTTACTAATATTTCCAATAACAGCAGCCAATCCCCTATTAGAATTTACGAATGCACGGTTTAGTGTGGGGAAAACAAATCAATTTGGGGCATGAGGTTCAAAAAGAGTAATTAAAACACATACGAGCTGTGAAATATCTTTTAAGCACCAAATAACATGAACTTATATATATCTTAATACTTATATATGGGTACACCTTATTTACACACCTTATTTAATTATTTATGAGGGAAGGAGGAGGAAAGATATGCCCGATGCTTGTCCCTTATAGGGTCGTGGTTTGAGTGCAGGTAAGACAGGAATTATGCCTTCCCCTGCAACCCGGTTTTAGGACCAGGGGTGGCAGGAATTAGTCTCACCACACGTATTCAGCAGCAGGCAGGTTCCTGAGGTGGGTAGCTACAGGCAATGCAGGCAGGCAATGCAGGAAAAGCTGGGGTGATGGGACGGGATGAGCTGGGTCAAGCCAGGTCTAGCTGGAGTGAAACAGAACCAGGCGAGAGCTGGGACTAGGTGAGCCGGGACTCGGGCGACGGCGGCCGCGCCGAGAAGTGAGCGGCAAAAGCACACCGAAGAGCAAGGAGCGGGACCTTCGGTATCTGTGGAAAAGCGTGCAGAAAAACAGCACGCACACGCTGTCTCTTTATAGGTTTCCTTTGCTCCTGATTGGCCGGTTTTGTATTTCCAGGCTTTTCAGCCAATCAGACAGGACCTTGTCCCGCCCTTGCAGCCGTTTTTCCCGCCATGGCTCCTCTCCTGCAGCAGCTACCCCCTCAGGGCATCCGAGTTGTTGTTCTCTGGCAGAGAAGGCAGGCAAGGAGAGGGTTTAGAGTGCCACGTGGAGCAGCCATCTTTAAGCCAGTTATGACTGCTGACATAAAGGGCATTTTATGTTCGTGTGAAGAAATACCTGGTCCTTCACATATGTATGTAAAGTACTGCACAAACTTCTATGCTTGCTCCTTCTTGTAATCAAAAGTCAGGAGAAGCAATACTATAGATCACCCTGAACAACTTAACTGAAAAGTCAAATGGACAGGATTTTGCCTATAGTTGAGTAATATATAAATTTATTTCTTTATATCAGATTATATTTTATGAGTTTTCATTAATTTCACTATTATTTAATAGACTTAGAAATTTCTATTTTAATTTGTTATGTGGTTTTCCTCCTTCATCATATGATGTTGTATTTGTTTTTAACATTTCTTTTAAAATTTTAAAATAATTTTCAGGGGAAATTAGTAACAGTAAAGAAGTACCAATCTGTACTTTTAGGGTCACTTAAGAAACTGCATAGCTATATAAATAAAAATTAGCATATATTTATTTCTATGTCATCTCTACTTTCATTCATGACTTGTCAGGGTTATTATACCTGGAAGATTTGTTAACAGGTGCATGTTACAGCACTGCATTCCTACAAAAATGTGTAAGAAAAAAACCCTCAAATTGTTGCGTGCATCCTTTTCAATTCTCTGACATCTGATTGGAAGCTGATCATTTATCCTACCTATCAAAGAGCTGTTTACTCATGGACTTACGATAAAGGATTATGGTATAATTCAGAATGGAAAGGACCTAAGAAGGTCTCCTGCTTATAGCAGGATCATTTGTGAGCTCAGATTAGTTCTCTCAGGCCTTTGTCCCACAGAGTTCTGAAGCCATTGAGGATGGAGTCAGTGCTGCTTCTCTGGACAGCCTGCTCTGCTGCTTGGCTGTCCTCATAGAGAATATCCTTTTACTTAGATCAAACCTGAAGCTGTGTTGTTTCAACATATACCCATTTTCAGAGATACACCTTACACCAATGCATAGAGCCTTGCTCTGTCTTCTTGATTATTTCCCCTTAATTATAGGGGCTACTGTCAGGTCCCGCACAAAGATGTGTCTCCTCCAGGCTCAATACCCCAGCCGCTCAGCCTGCAGGGCAGGGAAATGTTTAAGACCTGAAGAACCTGATGGCCTCTCCATAAGCACTTCTCTTACCAAAGTTTTCCCTGTACTGGAGGGCCTAAAATTAGAGGCAGTATGTAGATGTTGTCTTACAGATGTTGAATAGAGTGGAATAACCATGTCCCTCAAGTGGCAAGCCATCTTACAGAGCCTATGATGTAGGGGGCCTCCATCATAACCAAGAACAATGACAACAATGGAACAGAATTATTTACAGTTCATGTAGTACTAATAAGTGGGAGATTTTAAATTTCACTATTCATCAAGTTTCTAGCTACCATTAGTTACATAATCTGACGCCATTTATCACAAATCTTAAAACATGGACGCCAACTACCTTTTCCAAGGAATCATTAAGAGACACAGTTAGTTCTGACACTCATTGACCTCCCTGGCTTTACTTGATGTTTGCTTAGTCTGAGTGATTGAATTGATGCTAAATTTCACAGTAATGCTAAATTATCACAGTACTTGTAGAAAAGCTGCAATAGAGAACTCTAAAATATAATGAGAAGAAGCACATGAAGTCAGAGTCTGAATGTCAGATAAATATCTTTGTAATGTCAGACAATATTATAGATTTTAAACTTAGAAAAAAGTAATTTGGGATGGAAATAATTTTGGTTAAAAGGCCTTTAATATTATTACTGTTAATGGTAATAATACAGATAAAAAACCTTGAAAAGGCATATTCACTTGGATTACTTAATAAAAGCAACAATAAAGCAATTTTTCTCACCTCTATTTTTTCTTTGAAAAACGTATCTAAATGTAATGAAAGTTAAGATTCAATAACTTATGTTAAGTGAGGACATCAGGAAAAGTTTTGAAGTATATGAGGACTAAAGAAACCTTTGTACAATTAATAGACAGAAATACTATGGTTTTCATAAAAAAGAAAGAGACATCTCCACTGTTTTTGTCATTATTCAAGAAAAAGGCAGATGTCAATTAATATACCCAGAACATGGAAATAAAGCTAATTTGCAAAAATTATATGTAATAAATGGGTAATTTATGTGAGCATGTGAGCATCAGACTCATTCTTGACCTCAACCAAAAATTTATTACATAGATAATAATTTAATAAAACATAAAATAAAGGTAGTACAATGCAATGTAAAGATACTACCTTATTCAGCATAAGATTTTATGAAACTTTTGAAGAATTTTGGTACTGGTAAAGACAATACTGGTAAAGTTAGATATTTGGAGTTTAGTAAGATATTTTGCAGAATATTGCATAATTGATTGAATTAAAAACAAACACACAAACCCAAACCAACAAAGAAGAAAATACAACAAACAAAAAAGAAAACAAACAACCAAACAAAAAACCAGGAAAAGTACATATTCAACTGCAAAATTATAGCACAAACAAGTAAGTTGGAGAAGGTAATCCATTCAAGGTTAGTTCCCAGTTTGACATTTACACAAAAAACATTGTATGAGCTTCAGATATAATGCTACTAGAGACCAACTGAATTAACTGATCATAAGTGATACCTGATGTTTGCATTAAAACAGCACAGTAAATTTCTAAGTTTAGCCAAAAAAAGCTGTTTAAGCTACCAGCCTGAACCTGAAACCAGGAATTTGTATACTGAGTGTTCACTTTTTCCTCTTATACAAGGTAACAATAGTAATTTATTTTTGTCTTAACCTCAGACTAATCAACATCATTTATCCTCTTTATTGCTTTCTGCATAATCAAGAAGTTTAATGCAAGTCTGTGGTTGCATTGTTGCAATATATAAACAGGATGTATGTTAAAGGATTGCAGTAAAGAGGTTAAGAGACTGATTTTTTAGTGGAAGTCTTTCAGACTGATCTCTTTGCCTAACCCAGCAAAAATCTGAGATGATATGCTCAATTTAAATAGAGTTTCATAAAGTAAGAACTCTATAATAATAATAAATAAAGTTACTGAAAACAGGAGAGAAAATCAGAAAGAGATTAAGTGGCCAGGATTTTAAGCCAGGCCAATAGACTGAATGTGTGTGAATAAATAAATATGTATATAAATTGTCAGTAAGAGAGTTTCTAAATCTTCCATAAATAGACAAATTTTAATTGAATTGTTTCAATATTGTTCCTAGAATAAAAGCTCTTCTTCCAACAAGAATTCACTCAAGGAATTTATATAGTTTGTGTCAAACTATTTTTCTTTTTGTCTTTAAACCTATGAATCTAATAATAAACCGCAATGTAGTGGAGATTGAAGTAGTGACACAGATGAGGCAGCTGAACTCTACAAATTCTCAGAGGCAGACTGTTGCCAGCTGGTCAGGCTTCATAACGATAGGAGGATAGCTTTAGAAGAAGCAATTTGCACTACTTCTTAGTGTTTTTTGTCTTCTCTGTGTTGTGCTGAATGAAGATAAATTTTGCATGTAGCAAAACTGACAGGTATTGGGCAAATATAGAAAGAATTATACGTAACTCAATTATGTAATAAATAGCGATGATTTCCTGCTTGTTTTTGCACAGGAATAAAGTGAAGTAATCTCCCCACTCTCAAGCACCCTCTGAAAAAAGACCCAAATCAAACCAATACTGAACACAAACAAAATAAAAAAAACCAACTAACCAACCAACCAAAACTGTTATGATAAAATAATAAGTGATCACATAATTTAAAGACTACTTTAGGAGGCTGGATAGGGAGGATCAGATCAGTGATAAAAGGCAAAAATCCTCATCATGTACTGGTAGTTTAACTAAGTTAACTAAGTAACTCAGTAGTGTAGACCGGACAGGTTAATAGGATCTATAGTTTTCAGTAAGCACTATTTCTAAGCACTACTTCTACAGTATAAACCTTCAACAGCGTTACTAGTGTGCACACATGGCAGTGGCATTCCAGTGATTTTCAAAATAATTCAATGTAAATATGATGCTGTTTTATTTATAACAAACAATATCTTTTCCACCCATAGGAAGACTAAGTAGATTAACTACTCTGATAAAAAGCTAAATATTATTGACTTCCTAGCAATATGGTTCTTGGTAGTTCCAGAAAGCTATGTAGGAAACAACAAACCACTTACTTCCAGCGTCAGTTTGCCCAGGGAGGTGGTTGAGTCACCATCCCTGGATGTGTATAAGGGTTGTTTGGATTGTGGTGCTGGTGGATATGGTTTAGGAGAGAACTTTGTAGAGTAGGGATGATGGTTGGACTTGGTGATCCCAAGGGTCTTTTCCAACATGAATAATTATATTCACTATGATTCTATGAAGATACTTCGTAGTATACTTTTGCTAGATCTATATTTAACCTGTTTTATTGATACTGCAGATTAACATTCACAAATCACACAATTTTCAGACTTAAGGAAAAGAACATCTAGATAAGAGAATGCAGGAAATTAAAAGAGGAAGAATAAAACTTTCTATCCCTTTACTCCCCCAAAGACTTATTTGTGTTTTACAAAGATCATTCCAATGTTTCATTGAAGCTAATTGTATCATTACTCTACTGGTCTTCTATAGCACTATCATGTCTTTTCTAATTCCAAGCAATGTTTTACCAATCTTTTATAAATCACTAGGATTAAATTTCTTATTGTGTTTGAATTGCTGGTAACAGCCAGATCATTATTTTTTTTTAATAGCTGTTATATACTTGAGTTATAAATGTGATTAGGTTTACTTAGTGGGAGCCATGACCTGGAATGGTTGAGCTTAAAATTGATGCCTTTGGCTGATGGTACTTTGCACAATACGGTTTTCTGAGGAGCCCATCAAGAACCACACTAGAGGGAGGTGCAAGATACACTTTCCCCTCCCAGCATAAGCCATCTGTTCACAGCTCTGCCTTACAGTGTAAAAGTTATCCTGATGGTGGTTCTATCTTGTGATGGCTAGCAGTATTCTCAAATGGTGAGTGTCACAGCAAGCAATTGCCAGAATATGCATGAATCTCCTGTCATGCTGCTTTTCTAGGTTAGGGATCCAAACACTGATTAAAACTCTGCTAAAATAACAGGAAGAATGGGTGAATGAAGTTGTATTTTACTTCACTGGGCTCTGGACCAGGTCTCTGTGTATACTATTTCAGAGTTTGATTTTGCAAAAGAGAAAGAAATGTACATTATTATTATTAATAATAATCATTATTATTTTCCTCCTCTCTCCTACTGCCCCACCAAAACAAAGTGCCTGGAGCAAAAAGTCACTTTTCAATAGTATTTAGACTCAGATTTAGACTCAGTATTTAGACTCAGATCACAGCAGGAGAACGTACAATGGCCTTGTTCAATTACATAGGAAAGTATTGAATGCCTCATTTGATCTAAAAAGCAGTATGGCTTAATAAAGAAATATAGATACCTCTGTAAGAATTCAGAAATAACAAGGTACTTCTAATTGAACATCATAAAAACAGATAATGTTCTTATTAGAAGAGGGTGTTAGTAGAGATTTTACATAAGGTTTTTAATAATGAAGAACAAAATCTAGCAAAATACGACTAAACACCAGTTTAAATAAAAATCAAACCAACAAAATATGCTTGGTCTGGTAGCCTTTTTGAGTAAAGCTGACTTACATTAGATTTATCATGTAAATAAGAATGTATATGAATTTCTAAACTGCAGTCAACTAAAGGAGAAGATATCTTTGTAATTATTATTTTTTTTTTTTTTTAATTCCTTCCACAGTAATTACTAGACCTGAATTCTACTGGCAAAACTTCACTAGAATACAAAAAAATCCCAAACAACCCAAGACTCTTTTCTTTATTTTGTGAGAAATACACACAACAACTGTAATAGTTATATCACATATTAATTAATACAGGTATAGTATTTCATTCAAAGCTGTTATGTATTATTTTTTGCTTCATAAAAAGGTACATCACACTCTAGCTGGACTGTCTAGCTGAGATGCTAGACATTTTATTTCCCTTTAATTTGTTTTTGGTTGTCTGAACTGATAGTTATTACTCTTGTTGAATAATTTCTTTGTGTCTCCAAGAAACCCTACTTCCGGTTTATAAAACTGAGCAAGAGGCTTCTGCAGAAGTTAGACTCTCTGAACATCACAATTCTTCCTAGACCTTGGCACTTTTCTTTGTTTAATTGGTTGCACAACTGTATCTGTCACTTCATATATTTTATTTTCACAACTAGGAACATTCTGGAATTCAGCATCCTTCAACACAGAGCTGTCCTACTTGCATTTCCCTACCTTACATGGAGAGCTTAGTGCAGATGTCTCATTTTTCTTTAAAACTACTGCTTCCTCAGGAGTGTTTTTAGAAAACCTTGGAATTAAAGACTTCATACGAATAGAATTATACTGTAAGTAACATGACTGATAGTTACTGTTGTTAGTTTTATTAATATTATTATTAAAGCTTTCAATAGGACTAAAATAGAATTAACTTAAAGGCATAATATTCTAAAACCGTTCTGTAGCTCTAGCATGTAGAGATAATTCTTGTAATTGTATGATTTATTTGATATATATAAATATGATATATTTCTTATAATTATATGATTTCTCTAATTAAAAAGATGCACAAAACTATAATGTCAAAAAGTCAGTATTAAAGATTATTATGTGTTAGCTCTTT